ATTTACTATCCAGTCTTGGACCAAAAAAAATTATATATATATAGAATCTATATCCAATATGGACTGCTATCCTATATATTCTGCCTCCCTACTACAAAGCAATTGACTTGGAATGCATTTGTGGAATTTGTATGTATTTAATAGTCAAAGTAACCACTGTTTATGAGACCAAAGAACCCAAAACTGCAAATCACAGAAGGATTCCCATAAGATCAGACTGATGTGAGCTGAAAAGCAGAAAAAGAGTCAACAAAATGACAAACTAACCTCCTCTAACTTCCTGCTGCTTTGACATTGATGTATACAGTTACTTCCCTAGAGGTTAAATCACAAGCTCTCAGTTCAGCTTTGTTTAGTTGGAGATGACACAGTCAGCCTATGCTTTTTGTCTTCCAAAGCCTTGCCAAAACCTAAAGGGCTTGGGGAAGTTATAGGCAGTTGTCTTACCTCAGTATGCCATCATAAAGTTACCAGTCCAAGCCCTCATTCATGAATAACTGGGATCCTATCACTATTGTGCCCTTCAACTAGACACTTGAGCCTGGGTTGCTCCAGAGGGACTGTGCCATAGATTATATACTCAGTCACCTTGGATAAGAAAGTGACTGCTAATGTACGGTAATGTAATGTAAATACACTGCTCATTCTGACTATGACATCACTGCAACTCATGTGTGTGAGGACCTGTGACATTGCAGGAACAGTACAGAGATTACCTCACTTTTTCAGTAAGAGAAAAGGCAGACTGATCTGGGAAGAGATGTGAAAGTATTTACTCACAAGACTCACAATGACTAAGCTCAAGTCATACGGTGATGTGATTCCCCATGAATCTCCTGCATTGTTAAATATTCATTCACACGTAAGCCTCTCTGCTTCTGCAGAGGGGAATGACTGTGGCTGTGGACTCACCTTGGAGAGATTAGCTTCAGGGCTCATTCTGTTCCACCTCTAGCATGATGCTCCACTGCAGCTTAAACCGCTAATCCCAATAGGCAAAACACACCAAATGTAAAGCACGCACGCAAATACACTGCTTTCAGTCACAGACAACTGTTTGGAGGTACACCATCCCATATGTGTATAAACTTTCAGTTGAGTTCCTGAGTTAATGTCAGAAACTAAACAAAACTGCATTCAGTGATAACCGAGAACACCAAGGCTTGTTATATGCAAACTATCCAGCAGTTAAATAAAACACACTGGCTCTTTTCACCAAGAAATGGGACAGAAGACCATTTGGGCAAGAGAG